CGAGAAATGGAAAAGAAATACAAAGGAATATAGCAGGAAGGCAATGGAAAGCAGATTCCTTCTTAGTGGGAACTGCCTTTGTCCCCCCCATTCTCCCACTATTTTGTCGAATAAAAGTAAGACTGCTATTCATCACATCTTCATCATCAATAAACGATTTTATTTTTTGATGACAATTTTGCATGTTTTTATACAAAATTCCATTCTTAAGCCAAAAATCTGTCTATTTACGAATAAGCATTGCCTGATAAGAACCTTTACTATAAATTTCTTCTGTAACACATATACTTGCTTGCATTTTACCCAACTTATATTGATCTAAGTAAATAAAATATCTATGTATTGCCTAATATTGTAAATAATCATGTGCTATTACCATTTTATCACATTGCAAAATATTTTCGAGTTTTTCAAATCTTTCTACATAATTTTTATCATTAAAGTTAAGCTTATTATTATCATTAAAAATTTCTTCTAAGCTAATATATGATACACTATTAATATCAAATAAATTTACATTATCATTTATACTAACTGCTAAATTATTATCAAACCCTACATTTTTATCACCACCCCATTATTAAAATTATCGCTAATATTCATACTTCCATTAAAATTATTTATATTCTCCTCCTCATCACTTTCATCTTCATTTTCATTATCTATACTTTCTTCATTTTTTGTTGTTACAAAGTATTGTGTAAGCAATTTAGTACCTTATGCAGCTTATGTATATATGCCTGAAGGATTGTATTTGTGATATTTGGTAGTTTTTGATATCTCAAGCTGATTTTTTGCTCTCTTTTTTTTTTGTTCAAACTAATTCAAGCTTTTCCAGATTACTTATAGTTTGTTTTAAAATTTTATTATATGGTTCAAAATCCCCGTCCGAGTCACTTGAAAAATCTTTATCTTCAGAAAAAACAAATTCAGACTCGAAAGCTTCTACTTTATCTGAAGCTTTTATACAACTTTGTAGCCTTTTTTTTGCTATAATCTTATTTTTTTTATAGGCATGTAGGGTAAAAAAAAAACTGAGTATAAATGCTGATTGATGAGATGATCAAAGTAGTTTAATAAATATCGAAATTATATGATTGCACAAATTTTAATATTCCCAAATTTATGATTTTCATATGAAAATTAGCACAACTTTAAGCCCGCATAACTTACTAAATATTTATTTATATTAAAAATTAGCTGATAAACATCTAATTCTGATAATACTCTTCACTTTTATTGGATAAAAATTTGAGTTAATGCTTGAAATTATATGCTTTGTTAATTATAGTTATGTCAATTTTTTTTTTGAGTAAAAATTAATTTTTATTAATAAATGCTACGTCTGACTTTTGGGGCGGCATTTTTATATAAAAAATTAATAAAAATTGATTTTTTTATTAATAAATGCTGCGTCCAACTTTTAGGGTAGCATTTTTATATAAAAAATTAATAAAAATTGATTTTTTTATTAATAAATGCTGTGTCTGTCTTTCGGAATGGCATTTTTATATAAAAGTAATAAAAATTGATTTTTTTATTAATAAATGCTGCGTCTGACTCTCAGGTGGCATTTTATTATTAAAAATTATATTTTTTTGATTATAAATGCTGTGTTCAACTTTGGAGCAGCATTTTTTATTTCAAATCTAACAAATTGGATCTGAATCCAAATCCAAATCCAATCTGGATCTGACGGATCGAATCAAATCAAAATCCAGATCCAAATCTAATTCGAATCTAATAAATCCAATTTGATCTGATCTGTCAGATCTGAATCAGATTTGAATTGAATTGGATTTTTTGCGGAATACTATGTGAAATGAGTTATGTAATCATGAATATGTAATATATTCCTCAGACATCCTCAGACATTAATCTGACATTACTTAGATATTTCTCAGACATTACTCTGATATTCCTTAGAGGTTCATCCAATATTAATTTATAATTAAATAAGAATTTTCTTTAAGTCAAAAGAAAAATAATGTAAAATATAATTTTGATAATCATAATTTTAACATTTAAAATTTTTTAGATACAAGTATATATATAATACATAGCCTTAATGCTTAGCAATTACAGTCTTAATGCTTAGCCAATAGTTATAGTCCTTCAGTTCTTCGTCACAAAGTCAGATTATGATAATATCATTGGTTTATATTTTTTTTAGTTTCTGTATTCAAATCTTTTAATTCAAATTAAAAATGATCAAATTAAAACAAAAATAGTATAAGATCATCATTGATCAGATTAATTAAGCTTGTCAAAGCATCAATGATATAATGTAACAAATGAAAAAAAAATTCGTAAAATAAAACATTCAGTTAAATATTGCCAGATTAAAAATAGTTAATTAAATTATAGAATTTGTAGATTTTTCACTTTTCAGAATCAGGATCCGAACCATCTCCTTATATTTTAATAATTAAATTCAGATTATCATAAGTAGATAAGTAAAAATAAGTAACATAAGTAAGACACAAAAAAAAAAGATGGTAGACATTTATCAAGTAAAAAAACAGATGATAAGGGGGTTATACAAAAAAAAATAAAAATAAAAAAGAAATATTTTTTTTTTATTTTTTTTTAATTATTGTTATATTTTATTGTTGGGAATTTATAAGGACTTCAATTTGATAGTCTTATACTTTGTCTCTTCTCTCCTTCTTCGTCTCCTTCTTCTCTTTTCTCTTTTTTTTCTGCTTTTCTTTCCTCTTCTCTTTTCTCTTTCCTTTCTTTCTTTTCTCTCTTTTCTTTCTCAAAATGGTTTTGCTTAAAGAAAATTTTAATGAAATAATTATGATCTTACTAGCAATGAAATCTTTTAATTGTAGGATTCTCTTTGAATATAATAAAGATTTCAAAGATTGGTTAAGAATTCAGAATATTACAGACGTAAGTAATTTAATTTAATATTATAAAAGAATAATAGTTTTAGAAAATTTTGAAATCATTTGTTTCTTCTCAATAGTCTCCTATTTGTATTTAACGTTAATTTAAGCTTTATGATTTGAGTTTACATTTGATCATTCATAAGATTAATGGTAGCTTTAGAACATTGAAATGAAAAAATAATTTGAGTTATACGTTTGATTATCTAATAATACTTTTTATTATATAATACTAATCTAATATTTTTTTAATAAAAATCTTAAAGTTGAATCCTGTCTCTGTGTTCTTGCGACTCTTAAATATGCAACGCTAAATAGATAATGTCAAATTGTTAGAAGATTGGAATAATCAATTTAAGGTATCAACAACTGATCTCCAATATAAAATTAAAAGGAACTCAATTATGTTAATTAATATTGGTCATAAATTAGATTTAATTCAGAAGTATAAAAAACAAATTGTATCTTTTTCTGAATTGTCACAAGATCTTAAAATAATTAAAAAAATCAATTAGCCATTTTTTTATGTAATAATAGGATTGTGAATGGGATAGTAAGAGATGTAGCCTTAAAAAAGGTTTCAAATTTTTTGGAAAATAAGATCAAGTCAATAGTGAATAATTATTATGACATTGTTTATAGAAAAGAATATAGAAGTTCTGAAAAATTAGTTGATCATGGTCTTTGAAAAGATCCTTTAGGTTCTTTTTCAGGTTCGTATTCTTACAAAATGGTTGTTGGGAAGAAATCTAGTCCAGATGAATAACATATATTTGATACAGATAAAGATATAGTTGTGAAGTGGCTTTATAATAATGCCAAAACAGACATGCCCTAGATAACAAATTACTATGAGAAATTTAAAAATGAAGTTAATTTGGATGAAAAACAAATTATAGGTGTATTGTTTTGTATCAAGAATTATGAAGCTGTTAGTCATTCTGATAATAATAGGATAGATTAGGCATTGGGATATGTATATAAAATTGGAAAAGTAAAAGAAGGTCACTTCTTTTATCCTGAATTTAAAGTAGCAATTGAGATAAGTTCAAATTCAATTTAGTATTAGTTAATCTAAGCCATTTTATAGAATGACTAAATTGGATTTAAGTAAAGGTAGGGTCAGATATACAACTACAATTTTATTAATTAAAAAACAGCGAGGGCAATTGAAAGTGAAAAAGTGAAAAAAAAAGAGTAAAAACATAATTTTTTTTAATTTGTAAATTATTATTTTTTAATTTTTATTTTTTAAAATTTTAATAAATATTGGTTGATATTTGGTTGTTTATAATAATATTGTTTGATTTTATTCATGAAAATTTTTAATTGTGATTTAAAATATAAATCTGCTAATTTATGTTATTGTAAAATGATTAAGGGACAGATATTATAACTATATTATTACACAAGTTCTTTAAAATGCTTGACTTAAATAAGCATTATGTTTACGTATGTATAAGGTTTCCTTTGTAAAGAAGATAAAAAACTTAATTATAATTTTATGAGTGTAAAAAAAATATGATAATACGCGTAAAATAAATGATTAACAAACAAAATTGTAGTACTGTCTCTGTCAGCGCGTCTGTACTAAACAGTTTATTTATTAAAGTATTTAAAACTACTAAAACTAATATAAGACAAAACTAAAATGATCTATTGATACTTAGTCCTAAGTTACTTCTATTTATATAAAAACTATCCTATATAACGTTATAATAATTTAAATAAAGAAAAATAATATAATAAATAAAATAGATAAAATAAATATAATAAAATAATAAAATAAATAGATAAAATAAATTAAATAAATTAAATAAACTATGACATTAATGGTTTCTATTATACAAATCAATTTTACTACCTTTTTTTTTTAAGATGTGATGAAGCATTTATTTTTTTTTTTATTTTTTTATTTTTTAATTTTAATTTTAATTTTTAATTTAATTTTTTAATTTTTTATTTTATTTTAATTTTTATTTTTATTTATTCAAATTTTCAAATTCAATATAAAAAAAGAAAAATCCTAAGACAGGTACAAAAGCAGAAAAATAAAGTAAATGCTGCTTAGCCCTTTTAAAAGAAATTAACTAACTCTGACTAAACCAACCAGTTGTTTACAAATCAATTTTACTACTTTTTTTTTTTTAAGATGCTGCGACTTCGACTGATACCTTTGCACTTAAACCTAGCTACTGAAGTATACCAGATACCATTAATGGCAACGTGTCAGCCACACAATCTTAGGTATTTCCCTATTTTTCAAGTTATCTACCATATCGAACGCATTTCCTTCAATGTTTCCATCTAAGTATGACATTCTAACTGGGCAACTCAAACTGCGTGTTAGATCCGAATTAGGTACTTAGCATCAAAGGTACTGTCAAATTTGGATAGAGGGATCATCTCAGTCATAGTGAACGTCATCACTATTTTTACCAACGGTCTAGTGAACTATAACCAAGCTCTAATTACTTAGTTTAGCTTTATCACTACTATATAGAAAGCCACAGGATTCATGGGATAGTACCACAAGATTTGCCCAAATAGTGATCTCCAGTTATGCATATAGACCACATCAACCAGGTGACTTTGATACCTATAATTTCAAATAACTCAGAAATCGAACCTAATCTCTAACCCTAGTGACAGCTCGATTAGATGGTGCTGCAGGTGTGTAATGCAGTTTATTATCACCGCTAATCCAATCTACTAAATTCTGGTCAATCACTTCCTTAATTTATATACAATCTTATGATCATATATAGAAATAAGAGACCTTGCTGTACGAGACGTAAGACTGTATCCATTACAGACCAATCAGTGAAGACCAAATTTCTGTTGATCTCTAGCTTCATTTGCATCTACTTGTTCTAACGCCGTGCAGTATTTAGGCATGATCAATATTGATCGATGGATCAATCAACCAGATTTGTACACATATTAGTACATACGCCCATCGTATTTAATACATATGAAATTCTTATAAAAATCATCTAGTTTTATGTATCGGCTGATACCTGAACTGATGGCCTATTGCTATGTAATAAAACTTTAGCTTAATAAGAGACTCGCAGTTTAACCACTGAGCCAGGGACACCGATCTCTTAAATCAATTTTACTACTTTTTTTTTAAAGACGCGGTGAAGCATTTATTTATTTAAAATTCAAATTTATTTAAAAAAAGAAAATTTCCAAGACGGGTACAAAAGTAGAAAAATAAAGTAAATGCTGCTTAGCCCTCTTCGAAGGGTTTAACCAACTCTGACCAAACTAACCGGTTGTCCCATCATGTTTCTAATCAACTGCTATGAGAAGAAAAGTCACTATATGACTAAAGAGAAGAGAAATAGACAACTAGTTTTCACTGCTTTAAAAAGAGGCCACGATCGACCATAAATGCAAGAGTCATAAAATAAGTTAGTATATTCAGGAGTTGAAGAAATGTTAGAAGAACTGAGGGGAAAAGATGATGATACGAGAATGTGAATATTTTTGGAGGCTTTGATGTAAAGTTTTTTCTTTTTAGTTATTCCAAGTTGCAGTTCAACAGCAATAGTCAAATCATATCTGGGGATCCAAATTAATATTATGGCTTGGGTCTGTACGTGTTCGTAAAGATTAAAGAGGATAGTCATAGTTTTTTTATTGCAGTTTGTAAAGTTATTGATACAGAAGAATAAATGGCTGGAAACAATTCCTTTGATCATGTCAACTATGTTAAACTTCTTTGGAGAATTAATGATCAGACTCCAGTAATCAAAAGTTGGATTCATCAACTCGTTTAGATCTGTAGATCACACGTTTTGGAAGTTTGAATGAAAAGTTATTCTTTGAGTTTAATAAAAGCACTGAGTGTTATTTGATTGAGTAAACGGTGATTCCTAGAATATAGCCATATGTGGTCAAAAGTTTCATTTTTGGTAAGACATTTACAGCAGGTCCAGCTGTCGTCATATAAATCAAGTCTTGAAATCTAAGACTTTCAATTGAGGGAAGAAGTTCCAAAAAAAG